CCAATGAAATGAAAGATTTCAAAAGAGATCATTTCGAGTGGACTTTGATGATTGTTTAAACATGATGCAACTTTAGCACGGCATATTGTCATATACCATTATTACCTACACTCATGACATGCATGATTTTTGCTTACTAAGTATTAGCTTATGTAGTTCCTACATTGTAGGTGAGCATGAGACTTCTTAGAAAGTGTGGCTAGCTGTGGAACTCTTACGGGATTCCAAATTTCGATGTACCTGTAGGGTTATTTTAGGGGCTTCAGTTATATTATATTTTTGGAATCCTGTATGATGTTTGAAATGACATGTAGATATTTTTATAACGTTAGAATAAATATGTTGGACTATGGTTTTATGATATTTGGTTTCGGATGTACTTTAGGAGATGCTTTAATTTAAATGCTTTCATTTAAAAAAAATAATAATAGGGGATTTTGACAGAGTTTAGAGTATGATTATCTATATAAATGGGGTGTGACACCCACCATGCCCACCGGACTTCACTACCACCAACCTCGCTTCACTCCCCCACACGAATTTGAAGATTAGATCACTTAGGACCTACCAATTTTGGTCAGATAGCTCTCTCTGTGTATCGCGCCCATGGAGAGTTTGGACCAGAAGTTGAAATGGTTGGGAGGGATAATTAGTTCAATTAGATTCATACTCATTGTCGTTTGGGTTTGTTGATGGTTCGATTGATGCCAATTTGGGTGTTGTAGGATGCATGAATTGAAGGAGAAGAGTTTGGCAAAATGGACGTTGCCATTGTTGAGTGTCTAGATTACAGTAGAATGATTTGAGGCAGGTTTGATTGATGTGAGGCCATGTATAGGTTTATCGAGGTGAGGGGTAATCGTCGGTGGTGGTGTGCAACCATGGGCAGCGTCGAAAGTGGGGTTGCCGTGAAGGGTTAGATACGATGGTTTGGTATTTTAGGTTGCAAATGTGGCTGTTTTCAACAAATTTTGTGACCAGTACTGTGGGGGAGGATGTTTGGGAGAGTGAACCGAGGCTAGTGGTTGTGGAGTTCGGGGAGCGTGATGGCCAGAAGGTGGTGCTATGTGGATCTGTAGGTGGCGGCTTGGTGGGGTTGTGAAAGTGGTGGTGATTGAGAATTTAGGACTTATCTTTAATATGTTGAAAAATTTAAGACTATGATTGCAATTAGTTGTTTATTTTTTCTTTTCTTTTCTTTTTGTTTCATTTGAATAGAAGGGTAAAATCGTCATTTTATTGGAAAAATGGTTGAAAATGATCTTTTGCGGAATGAAAGGTGGAAGGTAGAGGTGAAAATGCCAAAA